GCTCCCTCCGGCTTCCCATAGCAGCTAACTTCGCAACCCGAAAGGAACAGCTAGCACTGAAAATGAATAAAAATTTATGTTCCAAAATGTACTGTTTATTTCGATTTTCTATTTTTTTTATCTGGCGCTGCTTGAGTCAGAAAATTATTTCCCCAAGAACCTTTAAGCAAATAAACGAGAGAAGCAGCCGTTTGTCAGATTTGTTAGACGTGAAGACTTTCGAACGAATTTATCGTCCAGCTGCCATCTCGCCGAATCAAAAGCGAAAATTCGACATAGTATGGGAACCATAGAAAAGTACAGCGCTGAGGCAAATAGTAGGCATCTCTTCAACTGGTACATTCGGAGTCGTCGAAACTTCATTCATGCCCTGTATGATGGTGGCCATCAGATATGACTCACTTTTGTATGTGCTGTTACCGAACAGTCTTTCAAAGTATGCCTCACTTAAAAAATAACACCGGACAAACAAGGAAAGAAACATACTCATCATCAGAAGTTGAAAGCCAGCTGTGCAATTAACATATGCTAACCGCCAGCGGTTCAGCCACAGTGCACTGGCGTGTTAGGTCTATTTTACTTGCATCACAAAGAAATAGTTGGCTTGTGAAAACTTCGTGTAATCATCTGTCGAAATACATTTTATTGCCCAGTTAAAAGTAAAGTAAAATACTACCAGTAAAATTTAGTATAAGATAAAATGCATGCTGCATATATAAAATACATATAAAAGTTAGATAATGAAGTCAAAACCATCAAGTGACGGTGCTGATTATAGTTTTGCAGCGACCTGTTCAACAAAGATAATCTTGCATAAGGCATGAGAAATTCGAGGCTGAAAAACATCCAACAGTCTTAGTGCGAAAATGGAAAACACGTCAACTGATTAAAGTTTTTATCCTCATTCGATGAGAGTCAATGCTGCCTCTATGGTTAGAAAATTTCTAGAATAACAGGCGGCCAAGATTTCTCGAACAGGTCAAAAACAAGCGTCAGTTGATGTAACTGATTTTTACGAAACAGCAACTTTCAAAAAACAACAGCAATCATCAAGCACTTGAAGTTGAGGTCAAAACGAAACGTAATCAGATCCAAACTTGCTTAAAGCCTATTAATTCGTAGGTTTTTTCAAAAATTTGCGCAATTTCCCGGACATACTGACCGCAGAATCTAAACGAGACGTGCATATTTCGTTCAAAGCTCTGAAAACTCGTTTTACCTGTCGATATGTCGATCATAAACAGCACCGAAGTCAATAAGAAAGAAACTAAAAGGGTATGAATGGAACAGATTGAAAAAGGTAGAGTAATATTTACCTGATAACAGGATCAGAAAATGCAACTCTAACAAAAAATAACCATGTCGATCTACTAGGCTTCCAATATAAAGATAGACCAGTGCTAAACCCAAGTTCTGGACCGACGAAATTAGACCGTATGCAGTAGCAAGAACTTTAGATGCAGCAACGTAAGATATGCACGGCCACAAACTGGACGCTAGCAATGAGTACGAGATTCCCGACAGTACCTTTGAAAAAATCGATAACTACTGGATAACAACAGAAGCAGAACCACAAAATAGTCCTTACCACAATGACGTATGGGATCACGAACGTGAACGCGAACAACACATGTACGACCAGCGCGATGCTAATACTAAGCAGCATCCAAAGAACATTGCGGCCTATCTTATCGACGGCGATGCCGAACAATGGAGAT